TGTGATTTAGAGTTTAGGGATTGAAGTTATATTATGAATATACTGATTTTATTTAGAGTTTATAGTTTGTATAGCTTCATAATTTAGTATAAAGCACGTGTTAGAAATTTAAATGTAATGATTTAATACTTTTTGTATAGAGTTTGGAATATGATATAAGGTTGGGAGTATAAGTAGAGCTATGGATATATGTAGGATTTGTATTATAATGTTTAAACTTTTTTCTGTATGATATATAATACGTGTGTTTGGATTAAAATGTTTAAAGTAGAAGATTTATGTATAAAATGAAATTCAAGATATAGGGTTTGAAATATGTAGTTAGGGTTTAGGGCATGTTTAGGATTTAGAACTTGAGGTAAATTTTCTTTTGTTTTTTCTAATTTATTACTAGTGATGGTTTTCTCTTTGTCATACTAAGTTAAAAAAGTTTTAATTAATTAATTAATTAATTTATTTATTTATTTATTAATTTATGCTTTTAAAATCATTAATAAATATAATTCACTCAAAATAAAACACAAGTAAATCATTAATAAATAAAATTTGGATGCGATACAGAGATTTGTAAAACATAATTTTTATTTTACTATGAAATTTAAAATTTATTTAAAAATCATAATTTTTTTTGAAAATTTACTATTTGAGGTTTAGAATTTAGATTTATGATTAGATTTTGGATGTGGTTTGAGGTTAAATTTTGGGTTTATGGTTTGAAATTTGATATAAGGTTTGGAATTAAATTTTAGGATTTAGAGTTTTCTTTTTTGGACAAATGCTTTAGAGTTTATGATATACACTTTTAAAACATAACCTAAACAAAATAATATTTTTTCTCAAAAAATAATATTTTTTTTTCTCAAAAAAAAAATCTTAACCCTAAACATACCCTAAAAGGATAAAAATAATAATTTGAATTTTATTGGACACTTGGTCCATTGAGTTTGTTATATTTTGCCCCTGAATTTTTCTAAGGCAAGATTCGATTTCTTTCTATGATTCACAAATTAGAGTCTAAGCCTGTTTATTAGAGTCATTGCTAGGATAAACTGATATGTTTATTTATATAATAATAAGGATTCGTTACATTGAGAATTTGCTATAAGCTATTACAAAGAAAACGATCCTAATATCAATCTATTGCCACCCATCCTTTCCTTGGCTTCGAGTCTTCACGGCTAAGCCAAATCCTTCCCACGATCACCTTCTTGTCCTGAAACCAACAACAGACATAAGCAATCTAAAATAACTTAGTGAGTGGTTTCTATGCATGCACTACATCCAGATTCTTCCTAAGTTCAACCCGGATTAATTCCCCTTATCATATGACCCTTAAGCCATTTCACCAGATCGATCAAGTTCAGTTCGCGGATCTATATCAACCATCTTAGAACTGAACTATCCAGATCAAACTTAACCAGATCAAGCCAAACGGATATAATCCATGATCTATCGGATCCAGCACTTAAGCACCGGATCGCATTATCGGACCGGCATAAGCCATCGGGCATATTTGCAGGAGTGTGCCAATTACCCCCTCTGCTAACTGTGTCTAGTGCTCCATAGTAATCAATATCTTTCTCGATTTCTTCTCCAGTTAAATAGGGTGGAGCGGTGTCCCTTACAACCCTCTTTGACCGAAACAATTTCTTATTCCTTCGGTACGGATGGTTAATGGGAAGAAATCTTCGATGACAATCAA